CTTGATTCAAGGTGCCTCGGTGGCACGAACGGTTTACACTCAACTGCTAACCTAAAGGTTGACAGTTCAATCCTACCCAGCAACACCATGGAAGAAAAGTCCTGGGGATCTGCTTCCTTTAAGATTACAGCCAAGAAAACCCTATGGAGCAGTTCTACTCTGTAACACATGGGGTCACCGTGAGTCAGGATAGACTTGATGGCAACTAATAACAGCAACAACATTCTTGACTCAGCCTCTTGCACTATTCACGTGAGTGAGCAGAGAGGGAAGTGGTCTCATAAAGCATCACTATCTATATGATACTTAATCACAGGAACAAAGGACATCCTTGTGCAACCAAGCACAGAACTATCGAAACTACTTGGCTCAAAGGAAACAGGATTTCATCAGACACTGGGGAGATGGGGCAGCACAAAGAAACCAGAACTGGGACTCTCTACAGGACTAGGCCAGGGATAACAAGCAGGAGGCATACCCCATGCCAACCTCCTCTCTCCCCCTTACCCCCTCAAACACAAGACATTGTTGAGCCAGGATGCTACCTCAGAATCCTCATCACATGCTCCAGGCAGCAATACCAAGTGATCATGGCTGGCACCTAAGAGGAAACCTATCTGCCATCCTAGACTAAGCTCTGCTAGCCCTAGGTTCTGGGGTTCTCCAAGGGTACTGTTAGAGGGAGAATACAGAGAAGGAAGCTTCAACTAGGACAAAGCTGCCCTGTGGGAACATGGTACCTGGCATCAGAGCTCCCCTAGGCAATAGCCTCACACAAGCCCTTCTGCTATACAAGTGCTATACCCTACCAACATCTTCTAGACTAAGGGTCAAGAAAAGTGCCAGGCCACAGAAACCTGAGTACCAGGGTGTCACAGGAAGCATGAGTGAGTGATGTGCAGGGAAAGAGCAATAATCATCAACACGGGTAAATATTAGCACTGAGAGTCTATCCCTTACCTTTATCACATGTCTTCCAAAAGGAAATCCTGTAATTGTTTTACTTCTTTTTTTTTTTTAAATCAGCCTGATAAAATGATTAAAATAATTTAGGGGGGTATATAATTTAAGAAACAAAACCCAGTTGCACTAAAATCATTGCTTCAGTTTTTCCATACCAATGCAAAGATAAATAATTCAGGCAAAGTGTTGTTCTTTGATAATATCCCCCATGCCCCCAAAATCCTTTACCCTTTTTTTCTCCTGTAGATATTGATCCCATGCAAATTCTTGAAGCGGAACTACTATAGGATCTTCAAACTTTGATGGATATGTGGTCTTCAGACTCTAGGTTTTAAAATAATTATTTTAGAGTAAGTTCTCTTTTAAAATACAAACCATTTCCCCAAATTTTTACAGAGCTTCCAGGAAGTTTTATACAAAGCACACACGGGCCACACAGTCTGACTTACATAGATGCCTCTTGCCTGCTCCCAGAGGCCCCTGTGCTTACCTTCATAAGGTGTTTCCCAGTCCATATTGGGGCTCTCACTTATTTGTCTTTCACCCCTAGAGTATAAGCTCCTTGAGGGCAAAGACTATGTCTTAGTCTTCCTATTTTCCCACCTAGCATAACATCTGGCACATAGTGGACTATCCATTCATAGCAAATTAATAAACAAACAAATAAAACAGTAGTTCTGTGACGTGCCATATTCTTTTAGGACCATTTTTTCCATAAATTAAACTCTTGCCTCAGTGGATCTACAGATACTTTGCTTGTAACTAAAATAAATAAATGTTATTGCTTTTTTATTTCCCTGACGTACAGAGAATGACACAGATAGTTGTGGTTAAACCCCTTTGCGGGGGGGGGGGGGAATAAATACTAAATATGTCCAGGTTTAGATACTGGATATATTTTGAGTTAGCATATATTGTTTTGTCTATATGAATCAGAGAAAACTCTTACCGGTTAGTAATCCCTGTCAAAAAAAAAAGTTTTGATTTCTGATATTAGTTACACCCTGCCTCCTCCTAAAGCAACCAAGAACAGCTAAGGCAATAACAGTTAGGTCTCACTTTTCTGAGTGGGTCTGAGGAGCAGATGGGGGCCAACAGGGAAAAGTGATCACCGGCTTATCTTTAAGGAATCACTGCAGTTGGTACCTTTTTCACTAAGGATAGTGCTAGGAGGTCCTGCTGTGGTCTAAAAGAAAACACTGGCCTGCCAAGCTCCAACAGGGGCCAGCATTCGAAGGGGGAGATGCCAGGATGTGGGTGTACCCTGCCTTGGGGTACCAGAGGGCAAGAGCAATCAGGTCATTTCCTTCTTAGATCAGCACACCCAATAAACAGATGATGCGTCCTTTTTCTCAATTCCAGTGCCTGTGCTTAGTTTGAGGCAGTCATGCAGGATAACTGCTGTTTCTAACGGAGGAACCATCTGGAATAATAAGCCCAATAGTTCTCAAATTAAGTATATCAGAATTTCTTCACAATTCAGTGTTTTAGAATAGACTATGTCCAAATTAAATTATGTTGTTGTTGTTAGTTGCCTTCAAGTCCATTCCAACTCATGGCGATCCCATGTGTGCAGAGAAGAACTATTTCATAGGGTTTTCAAGGCGGTGACCTTTCAGAAGGAAATCGCCAGGACTGTCTTCCAAGGCGCCTCTGAGTGGGTTTAAACCACCAACCTTTTGGTTAGTTGTCTAGTACTTAACCATTTGCATCACCCAAGGACTCCCTAATTAAAATATACATAATATTAATTCTTACTCTTTACAAATCTAAATGTAAACAAATAAGGCATCCAGGATTCTCACAAATTATTACGTTGAGAAATGTATTCAAGGATTGTTTACTAGGATAGAATAAATGTAAAATGGAATCACAATGATATGCTTTCATATTCAAATAGTTACAGTAGGCAAAATCTTAAAAAAGGAAAAATTAACATTATTAATATACTGTTTTCTTGACTTACTATCCTTTACAGCAGGGGTTGGCAAACTATATCCAGTAAGCCATATCTGGTGAACTGCCCGTTTTTCACAAGGCCTGCAAGCTAAAAACAGTTTTCACATATTTAAATGGTTGAAGAAAATAAAAAGAATCATATTTCATGTCACGTGGAGGTGATATGCAAGTCAAATCTCAGTGTCCATAATAAACTTTTATTGGAACATAGCCATTCATTTCCATATAGTCTATTGCTGCTTTCACACTACAATGACAGAGGGCCTTAATATATTTACTATTTGGCCCTTTACAGAGTAAGTTTGCCAATACCTCCTCTACAGTATGCAGCAGGCATGGAAAACATGTGTCTTCAGAAAAGGAGCTGAGGGAAAAAAAAAGACACCCTCAAACTCATCAAGTACAACTTTTGCCACAACTTTGCTGGTCTCATCTCCCTAGCAAACACAGTCCATGATTTCTTCTTTTAATGCTCCATGTATCCTTTTCAGACTTCTGATGAGTTTTTTTCTAAAGCTTGATGTAAACTTTACCTATTTCACAAGTTAGCTAATTTCCTGATTTGATATAATTACAAACTTTAACTATGTGAATGTGAGCAGGCAACACCAGGGATTTCTTAATATATTTTCTAATTCATTCAATCGTTTTGGGGACCTTTTGTGTTACTATTCAGCAGGGTACTGTGGGAGATACAAACACGGTACTGGAGTCTAGCCGGGTCTAGGAGAAAAGTCAGCTAACAGGCTGGATTCTACATTTCAACATTCCATACATTTGTCCTTCATTCAGGTTGTAGGTGTGCCACAATTTGATTGGCCAAATTCCTCCAGTTTTTTATATAAAGTGTTTTTTCTTTTATATCACTCGTCGTGCCTACAAAGAAATGTTTGGATTCTCCAAAAAAAATCTGTAGGCCAAGAAATACGTGAGGCCCCTAATTCGATTGGAATGCAGTGATTGCTTTAGAAAATTGAAAGAACTTTCCACATCAATAGTTTCTAAAAATCACTTGAGGAGGGAGTTTGTAAAAATTAGCTAGTTATATGGTAACACTTTTTCCTGAAATTTTTTTTGTCATGAATTTTTTTAAATCTGCAATTAAAATATGGACTAAAATGCGTGTATATGTAGAAGAGGGAACTACATTTATCCCCCACCCTAGAAAGGTTCTGAACGCTTCCTTCACGCAGATCCTCCTTTAAAGGTCGCCTTTTGCAAGCACAAGGAAGTCGAACGCCCGCCCAGGACCCCGGAGATAGGGGCCCCCAGGGAATACCGAATACCGAATTCCCTGGGGCGTAGGGCGAGCAATCCACGCTGCCGTGCTCAGGGAAACCAGGCGGGCCGCCCAACACTTTCGGTTTCTTTGCGGTTACCTCAGCTGTGCTCTTCGCAATCTGAAAGCTGGAGCTCTTGAAGAGCCCCACCACCTTCACCTGCAGCGGCTGCTCTTCGGACAAAGGCTGCGGGCTGCACCGGTTCCACCTCGGACGGCACGACTCGGCGCCCGCCATTGCAGCCGCTCCCGCCTACTCCCGAGTACAAACACTGCGCGTCGCCAAGGCAACCGCGCGGCCCCGCCCCCACCGCTCACAGCAGGGCGGGGCGGGGCGGGGCGGGGCTTGCCACTGGCGGCCACTGCGGGGCCTTTTCTCAACTTTACGCCTGTTGCTTGTAGGCCCAGCTAGAAGTTGGAGGGTGGCGCGCCGGCCCTCGAGGTTCTGAGACGGATTTCGGAAAAAAGGCTCGGGGAGCCCAGCGCCAAGTGTGCTTTAGACCCTCCCCCTCCCGCAGCGCGCCCGGCTCGGGATCCTCAGGGCCCCGCGAGCGCCAGCATTTCGCAGCAGATTGTCTTTCTGGTTTGGCAGGCGGCCGGAGCCCGCGGCCAGTTTGTGGCCAGAGGGCCGGTTGCCCCGGTAACGCAGGAGGCGGTCCTGGGACGCGCGCCCCTCAGGCCAGGTTCGGGTGGAAGGAGGGCGCGGCGGAGCCTGCCTGGCCTTTGGCCCTGAATCCCGCAGAGATCCTGGCTGTGATCTCTGGGGGGCGCGGAAGCGGAACCGCCCACCTGTGCCCGCCTCCCCAGGCCCGCCCCTACCCAGGAGGTCGCTTGTGATCCCCAGCCGCCTTGAACCTTCCGCGCCGTCCCCACTGCGGCCCTGCCATGAAGCCCAACTTCTCTCTGCGACTGAGGGTCTTTAACCTCAACTTTTGGTAAGTGCGGCGAGGACTGGGGTCTGGGGGCCACATTTCCTTTCACACCCACCAGTCAGTGGAAGGAAGGCTTCACATTCTGGCCACCGCCCTATCCTGACCTACGATCTTGGGGTGCAGGGGAAGCCATCACGTCCACATCTGGGTCCAGCTTTGGTGGTGCCTGGTTGCAGAGGGCTGAGCACCCTCAACCGTCACCGCCCCTGGCCCTTCTCTTCCTTAGGGGCATTCCATACTGGAGCAAGCACCGGGTAGACCGCCTGCAGCGCCTGGGAGACTTCCTGAACTTTGAGAGCTTTGACTTGGCTCTGCTGGAGGAGGTAGCGCTGTGGGGAACTGGTATGGAACCAAGGCTGCGAGGAGGAGGGGTAGCTAGGGGCGCAAGAGCGGACTTCCCTCCTAGGGGAAGGGGCCAATCAGGCATCCTTACCTCCTTGCCTCTCAGGTGTGGAGTGAGCAGGACTTCGAGTCCCTAAAACAGAAGCTGTTGCCCACCTACCCAGCTGCACACTACTTCAGGAGGTGAGAAGCCTGGCCAGAAGCCTGTTCTCAGACCAGGAGGCTCTTGGATCTGCCAGCCATTCCCTATTGTGCCTGTACCCCGCTCCTTTCCTCCCCACCATCTTCTAGCGTCCTCTGCCTCTGGGTGTGGGAGCAGGAGATGATAGAATCAGGAAGAACTTCAGTCCATCTCAGCCTTTTCAGGCCACCCCATCATCCTCCTACAAAGGCTGTAGGAGGTTTTTCTTTGTTCCAGAGCAGGTCTCATCAGCAGAGAGAAAAAAGTAACTGATCAGAGTTGGGAGGCAAGTGGGGGTAAGAGTGAGAAAAGTGGGGTGGGGTATTTCTCTTTCTGCTTTTCTGGCTATTAAGCAGGGCTTGGCTTTCAGCGGAGTCTTTGGCAGTGGCCTTTGCGTCTTCTCCAAACACCCAATCCAGGAACTCACCCAGCATGTCTACACCCTCAATGGCTACCCTTACATGGTAAGCATAACCTCTGACCTCTTCTACCTCCCACCCCCCATTAACATAAGGTAGAGGAGGCAGCCCTCCTGGCACTGCAGGTGAGGGGCAGAAAGAAGGTAGCAGTGCCCTGCAGCTCCCCCCCCCCACAGTACCCTGAGTTCCTGCTCCCTCCTGCCTGCAGATCCATCATGGCGACTGGTTCAGTGGGAAGGCTGTGGGGCTGCTGGTGCTCCATCTAAGTGGACTGGTGTTCAATGCCTACGTGACCCATGTGAGTGAAGCTAGCAGTGCTAGGGCTGGGACAGGCAGCCTAGTCCAGAGAGATGGGACTATTCTAGCTGTGCTGTCTGGGCATGGGGTGTGGGGGCAGGATCTCATAAGGTCACAGTAGGCAAGGTGGGTCACCCATTCTGTACCAAGCATCATGCCAAGTGACAGACACAAGCTTGATTTAGACTTTGCTCCTTGGATTCTGTTTTATCTACCATAACTTCACTTACCTTGCTCAGCTCCATGCAGAGTACAGTCGACAGAAGGACATCTACCTAGCACATCGTGTGGCCCAAGCTTGGGAACTGGCCCAGTTCATCCAGTGTGTGAGCCTGGGCTTACCAGGGAAGTGGGATGGGACCCAAGGACTGAGGGGTGGCAAGGCCCCATTTATAGGGCAGAGCCGGTGAGGCAGGAGTTCCTTCCTCATCAGCCTGGCTTCCCCCAGCCACACATCTAAGAGGGCAGATGTGGTTCTGTTGTGTGGGGACCTCAACTTGCACCCAAAAGACCTGGGCTGCCGCCTGCTGAAAGAGTGGACAGGGCTGCAGGATGCCTACCTTGAGACCCAGGACTTCAAGGTGAGGCCCTGACTCATTATTTCCCCACTCACACCCCAGCTTCTCTCCCTCTTCTTACCTCCATCCTTACTACAAGCAAATACTCACCTAGGGCTGTGATGAAGGCTGTACAATGGTACCCCAGAACTGCTACGTCAACCAGCAGGAGCTGGAGCCGTATCCCTTTGGCATCCGCATTGACTATGTGCTTTACAAGGTCAGGCTCCTCCCTCACAATGTGCCTCCACCACTGTGCGCCCTCTCTCACTAGCCTGTGTTGATTCTTGTTCAACTAGTCTTAGTCTTAGAGCACTGATGTCTGGAGCATGGATGTTCCGGGAGCTGGTTCTCTGGGAAGATATCCTCAAATATAAGCTTCTCACTGGCCCTCACTCTTCCTAGGCTGTTTCTGGAGTTTGCGTCTCCTGTAAGACCCTCAAAACCACTACGGGCCATGACCCTCACAGTGGCACCCCCCTCTCTGATCACGAGGCTCTAATGGCAACTCTATATGTGAGGCACAGCCCCCTGCAGCACAGCCCCAGCCCCACCCATGGTGAGTCACCCCACCCTTTCCCTTGGCTCCTCACCCCTTCAAGGCAGCCCCTCCACGCTGATCCTCTGTCTCCTGCCCCAATGCCCTGCCTTGTTCTAGGAGCAGCAGAGATGTCACCATTGATCACTGTGCTAAAGGAGGCTTGGACGGAACTGGGTCTGGGTATGGCTCAAGCTCACCGGTGGGCTGCCTTCGCTAGCTGCGTGATCGGTCTGGGGCTGCTTCTCCTGGTGCTGCTGTGTGCACTGGTGGCCAGAGGAAAGACCAGCGAAGTTACCTTGCTGCTTTTGAGCCCCAGTGTGGGACTGATGCTGGGAGCAGGTGCAGTCTACCTGTTCCACGTGAAAGAGGTCAAAGGCTTATGTAGGGCCCGAGCTGAGCTCCTGCACATGCTGAGAAGGGCCAGGGATGCCGAAGACCTGGGCTCGGTGTCTCAGCCAGCCCAGCAGGAGGACAGAGCTGAAGAACAATAAAGCTTCACAGTCTTTAGTGGCTCTGCCTTTTTCCTTATAGGGGCAGTGACGCGGGCCAAGGGTCAGTGTGATTGTCACAGTGTAGGCCATAAGACTCCTACACATCTTCTGCCCTCTCTGCACGCCCCCTAACCCCCAACTTCAGGCAGCATGAGCCTTGTTTGTGGCAGAAACATATTTACTGTAAACATTGAGGCTCTCTCAGAGGCAGCCTAGATAAGCAGGGGTAGCACTGTCCTCAGGCAAAGTTGTGATGTCAGGCACTGGTCCTGAGAACACAGCTGGGAGATGCACTATGGGCATCTTTCTTGTAGGGCAGAATGCAGACAGCCCTCGGACCTCTAGCCCTGGGCCGCCATCCCCGAGGCCAGCTCGCTGAGCCTGCGCTCCTCCTGGAAGCGGATCAGAGCATCTCGCTGGTGCACCACATCCAGCAGCTTCTTCAGGATCCGGTCCTCAGCCTGCCAATCGGCAGCTGTCTTTAGGGTTTCTAAAGGGAGGAGGGGAAGCTTAGGGAACAGGACAGGAAAGTAAGAGAGACACAACCTAATCCTGGCCTTTGTGACTTCTATATCCTAATCTGTAAAATTAGGAGGTTTGTTAACTCCAGTGGTTTCTAATATTGTTTAGAAGCAGTATCATTTTTGAAGGAAATCTTTTCCTAATCTGTAAAATTAGGAGGTTTGTTAACTCCAGTGGTTTCTAGCATTATTTAGAAGCAGCTTCTTTTTGAAGGACATTTCCTGCAAAAACCCAATAGTGCAGCTCTGGTTGAATTAAAGGGAGAGGTGGGGGCCTTGGAGCTCCATCCTCTGGTTTCCTCCCTTGAATTGTTTCAGAGGCACATGGATCTTGGTACATGTGGTCTGTATCTGTGATCACAAGGCTTGTGCAACACCAGTCCCATGATGTCTGCCCCTCCCTACGCCGCGCCTACCTTCCCGGTTCATGTAGCCTCGTAGTTCCTGGTCCAGTTGCCATTGTTTCTCCTCCAGGTCCAGCTCCTGCACCCTGTGGAGGTCAGGGATAGATGAGGCACAGTTGTCCAGGGTGCCCCAAGGACCTAGCTGGGCCTGGTTCACATGCCACTGTTACCATCCCCCGCCCCTTACGTGATCATGAGCTCAGCCTCCTCAGCCACCAGACTGTTTTTCTTCTGAACAAGCTGTAGCAGCTGTTCTAGCCACAGTGCCTTTTGCTGTTCTGGGGAAGCTGATAAGAAGGAAGAGGGGGAGAGGTGGTCAGGAAGTATCCAGCCAAGGACTTAGGAGATACAGAGCCCAGAGAAAGAGGGGTGTTACAAGGAGTGTCCAAGAGCTGTATGCTTTGGGCCAGACCCTGATGGTTGGAAGGACTGCTCAGGGTGGAACACAGTGCTGGTAGGTAAAGGGGCATCCTAGCTTGTCCTCCCCTGTCTTCACTCACTGCTCTGGCTCCTCAAGGCGAGCTCCAGCTTTGTGCCCTCAGCCTCCAGCTCCTTCAGAGAAACCTCGATCTCATTTTGTCGCCGCTGGATGGCCTGAGGGGTACAAGACAGGAGGCCCAGAGATCTTCAGATTACTAAAGGAGGGCGCTTTGGATGGGCCCTGATCCCCAGTCTCAGAACTTCCACTCCGTCACAACTTCCAGGAACTCCTAGGGCTCACCTGGGCCTTGTGGAACCTTTTCATCTGCTCCTCCTTGGCACGGCGCAGCAGATTCCGACGCCATGTTGGATACTTGTCCATGGTGCCTGAGTTCTTAGCAAAGGTCAGCAGGGCCTGTGGCAGGGTCAGACCAGTCAGGGGCAGGGCTGGCCTCTGGTGGATGGGGGTTGGGGAAGCTCCATTTGGGAGGGGCAGAAAAGAACTGGACTGGAAATGGGATAAGTTCTGGTAGATATAATGGAGGCTTAGAGACATGAAAGAGGCAGACTGGGTGAAGAAGATATTCCAGGAGAAGGGCTCAAAGGAGACTGTGGTGTAGACTTCTGTGTGGCAGGGACAGAGGTGTTCAGTAGACACGTTGGCTTGGGTAGAGCAGGTGGCCAGCATTCTTCCCACTCACCTGCTTTGTGTCTTCATCCAAAGTAACATCTTCCTGTTCCTCCTCTTCTTCCTCTTCACTGGATGGGGGACTCTCTTCGTTCTCCAAGGCCACAAGAGCTGAGCTAGGGAGCCCTGAGCAGAGGAGAGCTCAACATGGCCTGGGATCCCGTTCTCCCTTTCCATTCCCCAGGATTCCCCTTGCAGGAGTCCCAGGACTACCTGCCCTTACACCACCCCTGACTCTGGGTCAGCACGTGTGTGAGCAGAGGCAGAGCAGTTACCTTGAGGTCCCTGGGCTGGTACTCCCCAGCCCACAAAGCTGCCCTCCAGGGCCTGGCGGGCCAAGGCAGCGCAGCTGCGGGGGGGCTTGGGAGGGGGCTCCATTTCTGGGTCAGGGGTAAGGTTAAGGGAGGATAAGCGCTGGCGTTCTGGGCTGGAGAGGCGAATCAGCCGACGGGCAGGCCGGCTGGGACTTGGAGCAGGATTGGCCTCCTCCTGGGGGACCGTGGGCATCAAGGGGGCTGCTGGCAGGCTGTCATTGCCTGGTGCAGGCAGCTCCTGGAAAAGCCATGTGGTCAGGTCACTGACCCACCCCAGTGTAGGGCTGAGGCCACCCCTTTGGAGTAAATGTGGGATGTGGCATTTATTCATTCATTAAACATTTACTGAACAGTATCAGCCAGTGTTCTGGACGCTTGAGATACACTGATAAATAAAACAGACAAAAATCCCTCATGGAGTTTACAAAGTCAGCTGAGCTGGAGAAACCCCCTTCCTGTTTCCCGTCCAACACACATTCACGGGTTTTACCGGACTCTCAGAGCCTATGTCCCTGCTATCCTCTTTGTGGCCTGGTTGAGGCAGGTGCTGGAGGCAGTAGAAGTGCCCTGGAAAAGGTGGGAAAGGCGAGGAGGAAGGAGGCATCAGATGGAGGCAACCCAGTAATAAGTGATAAACCACTCAGAGTTTTATCAGACAAAGTGGCAGACACAGGACTCTGGATTTGCAGATGCATTTCTGCCAGCCTCCTGGTTCTCTAGAACCCCTGATTTGGAACCTTGGAGAAGACAGAAAAGACCCTAAGCTCAGGGGGAAAAAAGTCCATATTGAACCTGTTTCTGCCTCATGCCCAGAACCCCAATTCACCTCAACCCTCAAGCTCCTTGCCCAGGGAGGGCCAGCCCCCCAGTCTCTCTGGAGCCCTCCCAGGCCCACTCACCATCTCCTGGGTGCTGCCCATAGCTACCTGGCCACAACGTGGCCTCACAGACATGACAGCAGAAGCAGCTCCGGTGGAAGAAACAGCCGTTGACACAGAGGCGTTCCAGGATATAGAGGTGTTTGCCACAGAGTGCACATAGGTCCCTGGCACCAGCCTGCATCACCCATGACACAGGGTCAGCTGGAGCCAGGGCTAGCTGAAAGTTCATCCAGAAACACCTCTGCCCTGCCCTCCCCAGGCCTCTGTGTGCAGACAGGGTCTTACTCTCACCTCCTGGTGTTGGGATGGGGGTGTCAGGGGTGCACTGGGCTCTGGGACAGTACTTGGAGTCTCAGCCTCTACCTAAGCGGGGGAATAAGTGCTCAGGCCAGGAGGGCAGAGGGGCAGAAAGAGCTGGGGAATGGCTATGCAAAGGTGAAAGGGCAGGAAGGAGAGGAGAGTGAGACTAGGAAGGGGGACAGGCTGGGAGGTTACAGGACATGGGGCAAGGAGCAAGATATGGGGGGACACACATAGGGCAGACAATACCTGGTGGAGGGGGACAAAAGGGGACAGGGACCATCCAGCCCTGCTTGTATTTACCTCCAAGCGAGGTTTCTTGCCACCAGCATCCTCCCGATTTTCCTGCAGGAAGTCCTATACCCTGAGCATGGGGCTCTGAGCCCCTAGTTTCCCTTCCCCTGTTATGAATGTCCCCTCACCATTACCCAGGGACCTCCCACTGGGCACTCCTGCTAGCCCCAACCCTGCTGCTTCTCTACCTGGGCCCGGGTCCGCTGCAGGGTCCTCTGCAGTTTGCCAAGGAATAGCACAGCACTGGAGGTCCCTGGAGAGCCTTGGCTGACAGGGCCTGCATGGGGAGTTGGGGTATCAGGGGAAATGGGAGGCCAATACTGTTCCCCTAGAACAGACAGCCATACGCCAGCCAAGGACACTTCCCCAGGGTAGCCCTCAGAGGGCTCCCTCAACCCTCTCACACACACACACCCCACCTCCCCACCCCAGTGCTGTCCCACCCACCTACCCTCCAGGTCACCTGGGCTGTGAGGCTTGTCCTTGAAGGCACTGTGGAAGTGGCTAAGGTAGGCGATGAGGCCCAGCGGGTCACTCCCTGCCACCACTGCCTGTGCAGACGACACCGGTGTGATGCCCAGCTCCTCCTCTGCTACCTTCAGCGCCCACGAAGTTGCTTCCAGAGCCCCCACCCCCTGCAGATCTGAGGGTTCCCTGTGAGGTATGGGGGAGAGAAGTCAGTGGGAGACAAGACCTGGCCTCACTGGGGAGAGAGGGGTTGGGAAGATAGGGACACCAGGAGGGGAGAGATGGGGCAGGGGCAGAGGGACTCAAAGGGAAGAGAGGGTGTAAAGGTTCTTTTTTGTCCCTCTCTGCCACCCACCCATTGAAAGCTGCTCTGACCTTGGGAGCCCTCTAGCACTCACAAAGCTCTCCCCTATCTTAGTGCATTTGACTCTCACAAGACTCAGACAGGAGGGCAAGCAGGAATTCTGTCTCTAGGGAGGTGAAGTGTGGGCATAAGGATTATTAGTAAGTGGGGGAGCTGGGACTCAACCAGGCATGCTAACTCCCACACAGTGATCTGGCTACACTCCTATTGCCTGAAGTAGATCGAGGGCCAGGGGCATGAAAGAGACATATGGTCTGACAGGGGCCCCCACCGCTGCCTGTTTCCAGACTTACAGCAGGCCGGGGCACAGCCGATGCACCAGGGCACACAGAGCTAGCCCGTCAGCCCAGGAGGAGGACAGGTCGGTGACATGGACACCTGCGTACCCAGCAGTTTGCTCCTGGCACCAGTGCAGCAGCGCCTCCTGGGTGCCTGCTGACCATGGGAGAGAAGGCTATGCTGTGCCCAAGGCCCTTCGCCCCAGCCCTGGCACACGGGGAGCCAGTGTTGGGGGTGGTATCTCTATGGGAGGTTGAGTCAGGAACCCCATCCCTACCGGGGCACCAGCCTGAGGTTCACTGTCAGCAGCACCTCCTCTATCCTGATTTTCTCATTTAAAATAATCTCTTGTTGGAATAAAGTAGGGGAATGAATAAAGTGAAATCACAATTAGCCACTTAGAGGGCAGCAGGCTGTGAACAGAGAGAGCCAGGGACGCCCAGAGGCTCAAAGGAGAGGGTTCGCATGTGGCACGGGTCAGGCAGCACCACACGGCCAGCAGTCAGCACTGCTACGGCTGAAAGGGCTGTTAAAATATCTACGTACTTCCGTGCAGATTGGCAAACAGCTGCTGCTGAGTGCTCCGCTGCCCCTCTACTCCTTCATGACACCCCAAACTTCTTTGCCACCCAACAACTAAGCATCCTCCAGCATACTGCTCCCGTCCTGAGCCTGCCGGTAAATATTTTGGACATCCCCTTTGGAGCAGGGTCTGCTCACCGGTGGCCAGCTTTCCTGCATCTGTCTTGTCACTCTTCTGCACAGGCTCCTTGGCTAGCACATCATACAGGTCTCGTACCTAAGGCAGCTCCTTTTAGTTTTCAAGTCAGGCTGACCACGCCCCCCACCTCAGCCCCTGAAGAAGGGGCCCGCCTGGGGTAGGACTGACCCACAGAGGCAGTGACTGGACTGAGTTGGGAAGTCTGGGGGTGGGAGGGGTTCTGACCTGGTTGGGGGTCACAGCCCGGAGGTTCAGGTTGGGATAGCGGGTGGCTGGGTCCAGCCCATACTGGGCCACATTGCGGTGCATGTTTTCCGGGGATGTCTGTGACAGGAGCTGGTACAGGCTCTCACTGGGGATGGGGGTTGGGGGCAGGGGTACAAATAGAAGGGCACCCATCAGCACTCAACCCTCAGGACTGCCAGGCCTTCCCTTTATTCTCTTTTGCCCAAGCCGTCATCTATTTACCCAACACCCCCTCCCCCCCTCCCTGACCCTTGTCCCACATCCAGTCCCCTCGACAACTCAGGCCTCACCGTTCAGCCAACACCTGTAGGGGCTCAGCACCTTCTGCCCACCGCTTCACCATCCAGGCTGCATCAAAGGCGGCCAGGAAGCCCCGGGCCACTCCAGTGCCCAGGGGCCAGAAGGGCTGCAGTGTCAGAGGGACAGTAAACAGCTCAATGAGAGTCTAATAGGAGCACCCTAACCCCAGATGCCCCCCAAGGTCAGACTAGAGCGGCTCCCCTCACCACACTAGCAGCCTCTCACCTACACCAAGAAGCCCTCAGCTCCTCCCCTAAACAAGCGAACCTTTTTTACCTCCCTACTAGGAGTTGTCCCTGGGTGGTGTAAACAGTTAACGTGCTTGGCTGCTAACCGAAAGGTTGGAGGTTTGAGTCCACCCAGAGGTGCCTTGGAAGAAAGGCCTGATGATCTACTTCTGAAAAATCAGCCATTGAAAATCCTATAGAGCACAGTTCTACTCCAACACACATGTGGTTGCCGCAAGTCGGAATGGACTCAGCGGCAACTGGTTTGGTTTTATTTTCCCTGTTAGGAAGATTCCTCCCCCCACCAGGAAATCCCTGTACCTTCTTACAGGCAGTCCCTGTCTTTCAAAGCAGGAGGAAGCCCCACTATCCTCCCCAGTCAGGGAACCCTGAACTCCCTCACCTCCACCAGGCAGTCCCCCACCAGTCCCAGCAGCAGGCGGGCACCATGCTTCTCTTGCACACGAGCAGAGCTTTCCGCCCGCATCATGCTTGTGAAGTCAAAGGCAGAGACATCAGGCCGCCCGTGGGCATCCTGGGCAAACTCCAGCTTCCCGAGCTTGCCATGGGTGGCAAAGTCAGCAGCTGCCCGGGCAAAGCGCTGCAGAGCCTCGGGCACCACATTGGCACTTCCCAGGAGCCGATCGGTCTCCGAATAGTCCTACATGGCCAACAGATCAGAACCAGCAGGGTCAAATGACCAGTCCCATCCCACTTGGTGTTTAGGGTGCACATACTGAGGCCTAGAGAAGGGGCTTCCCCAGACAACACCGCAGTTGAAGGCTGAGTCAAAGTTAAAATTCAAGTGTCCTGCCTCACACTATAGGGTCACTGTGAGTCGGAGTTGACTGAAGGCAACTGGTTGCCTCACCCTGCTACTGAGGGCTCCAGGCCCTGTCCTACCACAGAGGCCTAATATCATTACTGTCATACACTTGCTTTGGACAAGACACTGAGATTCTCAGAGCCTCAGTTACCTCACCATTTAAAGATAACATGCGTTATCTCCAAAGGTACTCATGAGACTTAAATGTGAAAATTCATATAGAGCTCTCAACACAGTACCTGGCACATAGTACTCACTCAATTAGTTAATTCATTCAGCAAATACTTATTGAGTGTTTACTACATACCAGGCACCATTCAAGGCACTGAGAATTGACAATAAGACAGAGACAAAAGCCCCTGTCCTCAGGAAGCTTACATTTGTAGTATAAACCAAAAACCCATTGGTGGGGAGTCTCATGAAGCCTGGTCCTCTAAGCTGTCCAACCTGTTGCTGTTGAGTCAATTCCGACTCATAGCAACCCTGTAGGACAGAGTAGAACTGCCCCCACAGGGTTTCCAAGGAGCGGCTGGTGACTTTGAACTGCTGACCATTTTGGTGCTGGTGTAAGGTATATAGCTCAGAATATGATCCCAGTGGCCATGTAAATCCCAGAGAAGACTTTGTGGAACTGGAGAAAAGCTGGGGCAGAGGCAGGAGAAGGTGGGTTCCCTCAACACCCCGTCTTGGCCTCTTCCTCCCAGGGCCCAACGCCCAGCCCCTCCCTGCCCGGGCCTGGGCCCCACCTGGCGCAGCACCCCCAGCCGCAGCAGGGACTGCTTCTTGGCTGTCATCACAAAGTAGTGGGTGTCATCCTTGTAATATACAATGTTCTCCAGATCAATGCCTAGGGGACAGGGAAGGGAGCAGGAGATATGTGTGTGTCACTTCTCCAAACACCCCACCACTGCTAACCTGAGAGCTGGGACCGCAGCTCAGACTGCAGTGAGTGTCTCACAGGCCCAGGACCATCTGTCTCAGGCCCAGGAGGGCTGAGGGCTTGGGACAAAAATGGAAGCAGGGCTAGGCTAGCAGCTGGGAGACCTGTACCACAAGGTCACATGCAGGGAATGACAGCTTGGCCTCACAAGCTGGGATGTGTACTTCCCAGGGGGCGTGGCAGTGTGCAGACAGAGTAAACATAGGGCATCTTCTTGAAGTGCCACTTTCATTTTGAATTTATATTGTTTTATATTAAACGACCTATAGAGAAGCACGAAGCAATGAAGCACAAAGGAGCTCCAGAAGTTGAGCTGAGCCTTGATCTTGTGGTACATGCATTTTGTGAGAGATTGCCAAGATATGTCACACAGGGTGGCCAAATGGGTGGTGCCTGCTGAATCCCTGGGGCACAGGTTCTTTCCCCTTTGCTGCCAAGCCACAAAGATGAGATTCTAGGACTGAGGACAGCTCAGGGAGGAAGAGGAGTGAGCCAGCCCACAGCCAGGCAAGAGGAAGGGGCCCCCACCTGTGGCCTTCAGCAGGCTCTGGAAGAAGCTCTGATTGTAGATCCTGGCCACGCCACTGATTTCGGGCACCTGTGTCTCCTCCACGGTGCGCCCATTCACAAAGTTGGCCGTGATGCCAATGGCCAGTTTGCCTCGCATTTCTCGAACTGTGAAGCCTGGGGGTGTGAGGGTGGGTAGTGGCAGGAGGACAAGGGGTATAAAAACCAAAAACCAAACCCACTGCCGTTGAGTTGATTCTGACTCATGGTGACCATATATGTTACAAAGTAGAACTGCTCCATGGGGATTTCTTGGCTACAATCTTTGTGGAAGCAGATGGCCAGGCCTTTCTCCTACGGAGCCACTGGGTGATTTCAAACCTCCAACCTTTAGGTTAGTAGTCGAGGGTAAACCATTTGCACCACTCAAGGACCCCTATGAGGGATATAATAGCCTAGAAAACCCACAATGCTGGCTTCATTGAGGGAAAGGAGTTACTCACCTTCAGGGACGAATTTACCTCCAGCAGCCGAGATGAGAACATCAAATTCATAGTTGGCCAGTTGGGTCGGGGGGCTGGGCTGTAGCTGAGCACGCCAGCCACCCCCTGCAGCAGAAGGTATGAGAGGCACAAAGGGGTGGAAGTTGGAAGGGGCCCCTACACTCCCAGGGCAAGCCAGCAAAGTAACTAAATGTGTAAAGGACTTTACGGTTTAGAAAGCAATAATACATTGTCTATCAAATTACACCTTCACAACAGCCATGGAAGGTAGGGAAGGAAGAAAATGTTATTCCCATTTTACAGATGCTCAAACTGAGGCTCGGAGTGGTTCACTCAAGGCCACACTAATAGAAAGGGAGACTCAGCTGGCTCCCAATCCCAGCCTATTTCTCCCACAGACCAAGATCTCCTTGACGGATAGGGGTTTCTGGGAGCAGAGGAGTACTTACCCTTTTTGGGAGGGGGCTGGAGACCATTGAAAGTGACACCCCAGTGAATTTCCACCCCCAGCAGTAATGCCACCTTCAGCAGTAGCAGCTGAAGCTGCCGTATGCCTGGAAGGGAAGAGGACATTAGGAACAGGGAGCCTGGCTGCACAGTGTCCTGGAGCATCAGTGTGTGCCTGGTCAGGGTTGGAGAAGGTCTTAGAGATCACTCAGCCCAACTGTCTATTTTACAGATGAGGGACCTAAGTCCTGAAGGTCACTTGGCTGAAGTGACTCTTGTCTACTCTGTCTCTTGCCTGGCCCAGCAGCTCCCGCCCTGGCCTGCCTCTAAACCCAGGCTCACCCACCCCCTCCAGGCCACCACCAGGCCACCACGTGGTGCTCACTGATGTGGTCCAGGGTGCCTGTGCAGAAGCGCCCGTAGAACTTCTTGGCACCGAGTGCTCGCAGGTCGTGGATGGTGAAGGGCCAGAGGTGGAGCACGTTGTGACGAGAGAACTTGGTGCGCTTTTCCACCAGCACCACACGGGCCCCTAGCAGCGCCAGCTCCACTGCAGCCCGTAGCCCACAAGGTCCAGCGCCCACCACCAGGCACTGTGAACACACAGAGTGGTGTGGGCCTGGCATCCTGCCTCCCTCCTATGACTCCCCCCATTCTCCAGGACCCACCTTGGTGCTGGTGCAGGCCCGGCCCTGCTGGTACACAGGCTGGCCTGCTCGTTTGTCTAGCTTGGCCCACAGGGACTTGGCACTCCAGTAGTTGAGCTGAGCCTTGATCTTGTGGTACTGGGTCAGCCCCCCACCAGCCTCCACCCCCAGGGCCTCACATAGCCCCTGGAAGCTGCTCAGCACATCCTGGCACAGCTGGGCCTGCAGGAAGCTCTCAAAGTGGGCATGCGCTGGGTTGGTAGAGGCGAGCAACGCCATGGAGGCCCCGGGGGGCTCCCAGGGAGGGGAGCAGCTGGGCAGAGGGGAGTAGCTGCTGGAGAGAAGGAGGGAGAAAAGGCAGGGAGGCTGGAGAAAGGAGGAAGGGAAAAGGAAGGGGAGGAGAAGAGAGTGAGGGTTGGGGGGAGCTTGGGCTCCACACTTGATTAGCTCTGCTCCTCCCTCCCGGCCCCATCCTCAGCCAGGATCCGCTCCAAAGACAGCTGCTATCCCATGCACTCCAAATGAAATTTGCCATATTTGGAAATGAAAAATCAGCAGTCCTGGGCATAGAGGGCACTGGGGAAGCCACAAGAGCCTACAGTTCAGCCTTTCAGTTCAGGGATCTCCAAATGCATTTCGCTACCTAGGGCCCTGGTGGCGGGGGGCTAGTTCTTAGCTTGCCTTCCTGAAGCCGTGGAAACGGCTTGGAGGAATTTTTCAGACGTGGGGAGGGCAGGCTGCCAGGGAGGAAGGCTTCCTTTGTGCTCAGGCAGATCTAATACCTCCACCCCCAGCTGCTGGGCACCCATACTGCCCCATCTCACTCCAGGCCTCCCAGCTCCGGGCGCCCCTCGATGGCGTCAGTGACACGCTGGGTGTGGACTGTGTCTCCTGCTCCTCAGCATTCGTACTCCCCTCCTGAGGGAGGGGGAGGCAGCTTCTAACTGTATAGGCTCCACTTCCCACCTCCAAAGCTACCTCAACGGCCGGAGGATGTTGCGACTGACTGGGTGACTGAGGCCTGGGTCTATTTCTGACTCTCTGTGGTCAAGCCACTTCCCCTGAAAACTTGCCGCTGCTCCTGTGAGCTTCGGGGGCGGGCGAGGGGCGACAGCTGCCAAGTCCACGTCCCAGCTTCCTCCCACCCCAATTGACGCCCCACCGCATCCCCTTCCCAGCTCCGGCACGCTCTCCCAGGAATCTCTGCAGGACAAGGCCGCCCTTTGTCCCCCCTACCCCACGCTCCAGCCTCCCACGCAACTTGAGGAGTGTCAGAGAGGCTTTCTCAAGCTAGGCTCGGGAGGAATCCGAGGATACGGAAAACGGGGTTGCCCACTGGGGGAAGGGGGATGGATTAGCGATTGGGGCAGGTCCTGGAGCCGACACCGCTCCCGCCCCGCCGCCCTTGGGATCCCAGCCAGAACCCATCTGGCTGCGCCGAGACAAGAGAAGGGGTCTGAAGTCACTCGCTGCGAATCACCTGGTCGAGGGCGGACGGGACGTCAGGAAGTGCAAAGATCTCCCTTGGGGGTGGGGGAGTGGAAGGAGGAGAACCTCGGTGAAGAAGAGAGGGGCGATCAAGCCCGGTACCACCAAAACAAAGGATGTGCGAGGCGCGGGAGGTGGCTCCGGGCCGAGCGGTCTGGGAGGATGGAAAGGGAGCTGGACCACTGGAGGCGGGGCAGGGTCCCACACTCGGGACAGTAAAGTCTGAAGCCGGGCTGCGCCGGGCGTGGACGTCAGGGGAGGCGGGCTCGAGCGGACGGGTGCAGTTCCGGAGCCTGGGGGCCGCATTTCCCTGGAAGGGCCCCTGTGACGCAGCCCCGGCTCCAGTGGGCAGGGGGGGCACAGCGGGAGCAGCTAGAGAACTTACCGAGAGACGCCGGAGCCGGGATGGGCAGCTTCCTGCCGGTTAAAGCGGTGGGGGCGCGGGGAACGAGGAAAGGGAGGCGGAGGCTGCGCGGAAGGCGAGCTAGAGGATGCCTGGGGGCGGAACCGGTGCGCTCAGCCAGGGAGTCCAGCGGGTTTGGACTTTGAGAGCAGGGCGCGGAGACCGCAGAGACTTTAAGAGCGCCTCATTAGCATCTCATTACTTGGTGGGCCCGGCTCGGGACAGCCCCTGCAGGGCGGTGTCCCACGGAGTGGCGCGGCCGGCATCCAGTTCCCGCTTGGGGGCCGGAGACCCTGGTTGAGCCTGGCGGGTCCGAGGAGCCCGAGGGCCGGGGGCGCCTAGTGCCCAGCCGCTCACCCGAGGCCTCGGGCTCCTTCCTGGCGCCTGCGCGACTAGCCCTTCCCCAGCAGACTAGGCGAGGATCCCCGACCCTGGCGCAGTAGCAGCTACACGGACGCCTTCGAGCGCTGGGCAAGAAGCTTGGAGAAGCTGACAAGTCCGAGAGTGGTGCCGGAACGTCTGCCCTCTCCTCGCTTCTCCCACCCGGGTATCCACGGCCCGGATGCCTCACTGTGGATCCAAGCTCGGAATACGCATCCTCTGCCACAGAGCTGCCTCTAAGACACGGGCAAGTGAGGGACAAGGAGGTCTTGCGGGGAAATGAAAAAAGGGGGTTTAAAAGAGGGATAGATCCCCAAAGTTCAAGAATGCCTTAGAGTGAGAACCCAAAGAACTGTCAGCGCTGAAAAGGGCTTGAGGGACCTTTGGGATCAACTTCCTTATATTCCTGATAAAGAAACAGCACTGAAAGTGAAGGGACTTGTCCGAGATCATTCAACAGTTAATAAAACAGCAATTCCCGTTTATTTGGCGTCTGTTATGATCTCAATGCTCAACGCTCGTTTAACCGAAAAAGAAACAGGGTCACAGAGATTCTCATGTAGCAGAACTGGCACTGGGGCCCAGGCCTATCTGGATTCCACTACAGCAGTGTTGACCCAACATGACAAGTAAAAGCCTGGCATTATAAGAAGCTGTTTCTTGTTTAGAAGAAGTGACACTGTTACACTTGAAACATTAACAAAACCAAGAAATAAACAGAAGGGTTGCTCTCCTTGAGATCCAGGGTCAGAAGAGAGCTGGGTGCCCTATGGCTCTCCTGTTCTTCTCACTTTGCGCTTTATCTGGAAACCCTCTGAGACCTGCACACTCACTACTTCCAGCTTCCGCTGAGAAGCAGGTACAAGGGGAAATACCTGCTCTCTGCCTGGAGAAGAGGGAGTTCAGCCAGGTCACATTCAGGAAACTAGGGCAGCCTCCCAGCTGGACCCATCTTAGCTCTTGAGTGTGACTCGGTATTTGGCTTGAAATGAATTTGCTGAATATCATACACACCCATACTTAAATACATAGAATAAAAATGTTCTAAAGTCCACTGTAAATGAGTTACCAGCCTTTACAACCATCCCATTTCCCTTTCATGAGCAGATGACAACCAGCTTCTCCTGCATTTGCAGAGGCCCAACAGGTTCTGGACCTTGACTCAGTGACTTGTGGTTCCAGCCAAACAGGATAATGTGGCTCTCTGAATGGAAAATGGTAAAACTGACTTCAGAAAAGATCACAGATTGCCTCCATTAGCATCTGCCTCCTTTACCATGAGACCAGAAGAACTGGATGGTGTCCAGTTATTACTGAACATTTTAACCAAAGATTCCATAGAAGAATCCTGATCAAAAGGGAGAAAATGCTGAACAGAATTTCACAGTGTCTTGGAATCCAGACTTTCTAGAGCCATGGAGGGTGGATAAGCCCCTGAAACTATTGCCCTGAGATAATATTTAAACTTTAAGCCAAAAATATACCCTGAAGTCATCTTAAAACCAAACAGTAGTTTAGCTTAACTAGTAAAAAAGATCTGCCTTGAGAATTATGCTCTTTTAAGAACTATATGGGATCAAATGGACAACAGCAACTCGAAATATTAGATAGGAACCTTAGTGCGCAATAGGTTTATGTTAATGAGGGAGGGACAACTCAGAAAAGGAGGGTGAGAATCGTTGCACAACTTTAAGAATGTAATCAACGTCACTATGTAGAAACTGTTGAACTGGTATGTGTTTTGCTATGTATATTCTCAACAGCAACAACAAAATAAAACTTAAAGGGAGAAAAAGATCACAGAACAAGAATGATTTCATCAGTGCAAAGAAACTGATGACTTGGAGTTTCATTTTATGCTAATTAAAGATATACACCAGAGCATAAAGCAATGGGGAATATATTGGTCTGGAACCCAGCTGTGGTCAGATTCCAGCTGCTTTGTCTCACACTAGCCACCTGTGACCTTGGAAATCACTGACCACCACTCTGCCGTCCTCTCGTTTCTAAATGAAGGCAGTTTAAATACTAAACCTCCTCAGTCCATTTCAATTCTAAAATCCTATTATTCAATGTTGGTGGCTCCAAGAAATGTCCAGGCTTGAAGACCCAAACTAAGTTCTATTTATAGAACTCTTTAAAAAATGACCCCATTATAAAGCTAAAAGAATAAATTTATTATTTATCTGCAGATATTTCTCTCCTTCATTAGAATCTTTGAAGCATGATTCCCATTATATGTGTACATAGAACTAAAATACTGGCACTGTCACACTGGACAGTTCCTATTGGATCAAAGAAGTGGCTGATGGGTGAAAAGTCAGCTTTCAAAGGATCACAGTCTAATGCTTTTGCAAATAATCATGCCAGCAGTGGCTTCCGTTTATAAACTTGAGTAATTAAGACAGGTTCCCCTTTCACCTAACCCTCGCTGTGTTTCATCTTCTTGCAATGCCATCCTTACCTCCCAACCTCTCATCTTCTGAGCCTGGAGCCAGAAACTAGGTCCCTAGCACTCCGGGTGACATGTCTAAGCCAACGTGTAATATGGCCTTGCACCTGCGAGTCCGTGCATTCAAACAACAAATTGATGGTCCTGGGCCTGGAATTATTGTTGCAGTGTGACCAGACAGACAGGGTTCCTGACATGAAAATAATTACAAACTGAGCCCGAAGTGTACAGGGTGCTATGAAAGAACATGACAGAGTGACTTGATGGAGATTAGGGGATCACAAAGGGCGTCCCTGAGGAAGTAACACTTCAGCTGAATTCTAACAGATCACAGATGACAAGACATTAGTTAAGCGGGTAGGGGGCGGAAACCTTTCAAGGCTGAGAAATCACCACAGCTGGGTGTGTTTAGGGACCAGCAAGGAAGCTGGTGTGACTGGAAGTGAACACAGGGAAGAGGAGCCTAAGAAGCAGCTGGATTGGGGATTTTATTCTAACTGTAGTGGGAAACAGCACTTAAAGATTTTAAGTAGAGACGTGATCATATTTGCATTAATGAGAACGCAAACCCGTTCATTTTGAAAGGTTCTCTGCTTGATGCTAAGGGGGTTATCGTGAGCACAAACAGAATACTGCTTCCAGTGGAGAAAGATGGTGAGGTAGGGGGTGGAGACGATTGGTCAGGCCTTGGCAGGAGTCCAGGTGAGAGGCCATGTAGTCACAGAGGGGATGAGAGAAGTGGAAGGATTCAAAATATATCTTGAGGTGAAAATGGCAGGAGATGGTAATGGATTGGATAGGGGTAGGGGTGGGGGGATGAGGAGGGCCCTATTGACTCCCAGCTTTTTCTTTTGGCTGATTAGGGTGGGTGAATCAAAATTTGGGTCCCTCATTCTTCCCCACTACCTATCTGTATGCTAGGAGCCCTGGTGGTGCAGTGGTTAAGCACTGGGCTGCTAACTGAAAGATTAGTGGTTTGAATCCACCAGCCTATCCATGGCTGTAAAGATTACAGCCTTGGAAACCCTACGGGGCAGTTCTACTCTCTCCTATAGGGTTGACAGGAGTCGGAACTGACTCGACGGCAATAGGTTTGGTTTTGGTTTTGATCTGTATGCTGCTTTTTATTTAAGTACCTTACCCAGAAGTCAAAGTGGAATGATTTCATAAGCTCTAAGATAATACAAGGAACTCTACTCTGAGAGGCTGTAAAGGTTAGAAATACAAATACGTTCAGGATCAGTTTAAATATTTTCTGGTATTTTTGTTATGAGAGTGCTTACATGCCTCAAACACTAAGATTATTGGAAAAATGTACCCAGAAGCCACTTAATCATACTAAAATTTCCTATGAGAGGTAGATTCTAAAAATGCGGACAGTTTTGTTCTTAACTCTAATTTAGCCTAAGGAAGCTTCAGTTCAACTTTTCATTTAACAAGGTTAAAAGCAGCATGAATTAAAACTATAAGCCAAGCTATTCTTTTGGAAAAATCATACTCAAATTCATATTTGATCTAATATTATACACATTAATTAAAAATAAATAATAAATCCATGCTCTAAGATCAAGGAAGTTCCCTTTCCTGCTCAAATTTTATCCTATCTTTCAACACTTCACATTGTACAGTTATCACTTTTCAGATTCACATAAATAAAAAAGCTAAGATGATCCCTTGCTAATGTAATCTAAACGTGTTCAAGCACCTGTATTTTGTGTTGAAAAATGTGATTCAATGCGCTTCAGTTTACAAGCTCTCCTAATGTGGTACATGTTTCAAGGTGAGAATGAAATACGCATGAACACACATATATTCAAGTCTTAACAACAACCTTTGCTGCTTGATTATGTGTAAAGAAACTGAAAGCAAGATAAACAATCACAATGACTTTCAGCTTCTTTTAGAGGGCATTGCTTGGTATCTGCTATTTACAAAAGAAGGGCAAGGGGATTTGTCTAGGGGTCATTACTCCATACCTGCTATTTACAAAAGCAAGACAAAACAAAGGATTTTCTTTCTATTCTTAAGAACTCAGTTTATTTAAGCTTGGAAACTGAGGAGGAAAATTTATCTCATTACTTAAAAATAAGGGTAGAAAAATAAAATAGGTATACTCTAAACTTGTTTTCACTTTAGTAGTAAACTTTCATATAGTTCGTAAATTTCCATTAAGCTTTAAGCCAATTTTAGCCAAAAAGGTCTTATT